CTGAAATTAAATAAAAACAGACATCATTAAAATCATATACAGCAATTCATTCAGTCCTGATCAAGTGGTCCTAATCTTCATAAAGACCACATAAAAACCTGTTGTCTGTGGTGTACCACATATGCAGCAATTAATTAAAATTAATTACTTTAAAAATTAAACATTTATTTTTTAAATATTTATAAATATTAAAAACAGGAAGGGGGCAAAAATCTTTTCACACCACTGTATATATATATATATATATAAAACATTAAATGTAAAAATTAATAATAAATATAATATTAAATTTGCTAAATATATATTTTAATGAATTTTTATTACAATTATTTAATTTATAAACTCCAAAAGAAAGAAAGAACGAAAGAAAGAAAGACAGAATAAATAAGTGTTTGAAATTACATATATAGTATCATGTCTTTTTATTAGAATTATTTTTTATTTATAAACTCATAATGAAAGAAAGAAAGAATAATAAATGTTTGAAATGAATGTAGTAATAAATTTGCTAAATATACATTTTGATGACTTTTTATTAGAATTAATTTTTATTTAAAAATTGCTAAAGAAAGAAAAAATGAAGAATAAATAATAAGTAAGCGATTGAAATGAAATAAATATCGTAATAAATCCAGCAGTTTCAGTTCTAGAGGTCTAGGTCTGGTCTTCACTCCATCTGCTACTCAACACACAAACCCTCTAAAAAGCACATGCATTCCTAACACAAATGTGACTGATCATATGGAATGACTCTGGTTAGGAACACGTCCTTCCATTACTACGACAGAGAGAAGAGAGGGGTGTAAGAGGGTCTCGTCCTGTTTTAGACGTGTGTGTGTTTTTTAGCACATTTTGCTTATGGACACCAATTTCACTGTACTACCCATCGCGCAAGCTGTTTCCATGGCAACCGCCGCCGTACCGTATCAGCGAGTGAAGCGATCAGCTCTCTGCTCTCCCCCACTGATCAAAAACAATCTCAGATCAATCTACACCAGACCCAACTCGGTTTAATTGCTTTAGGAGGGACAGAAGAAGCTCTCAGAGATGGACACATATGGATGCAGATGAACACATAATGATCATGAACTCTCTCATAGTGATGGAAGGACGTGTTCCTAGCCGGAGTAATTTACTACGATTCGTTTAGGGAGCGTCTCTCTCTCTTGATCCCTCTCTGCTGTGAATCCAATCTGGTTTTCAAATCTTTAGGACTGACCGTCCACACACTGTAATTTTGCAAATGATGAAACAGATCCAATTGTTCAGATAATGTAGTCAGCTACTACTGTACAGCAGTGACTTAAATACAGCACGAAACATCGTTCACAGACCGTTTTGCAAAACTGATTTTATCTGCTGGGAGGAAGAATGCAGAGGATGTCATTATTATTATGATGAAAGATTATGAAGACAAACATTGTTTCTTATAACAGCACATAGCGATGCATTGTTCATAATAAGACCAGGAACATGTAATAAGGACATAAACAAAGTCATGTTGACTTTAAATTGCAAATGATGAAACAGATCCAATTGTTCAGATAATGTAGTCAGCTACTACTGTACAGCAGTGACTTAAATACAGCACGAAACATCGTTCACAGACGATTTTATCTGCTGGGAGGAAGAATGCAGAGGATGTCATTATTATTATGATGAAAGATTATGAAGACAAACATTGTTTCTTATAACAGCACATAGCGATGCATTGTTCATAATAAGACCAGGAACATGTAATAAGGAAATAAACAAAGTCATGTTGACTTTAAGTAGTTGTAGTGTGGAAATAGAGAATGGAAAGTCAGAAGTCTCCTTGCCCTGAACTCATTGCATGAGACCATTTAAAAGTTTGGGATTGGTAAGCATTCTTTTAAAAGAAATTAATACTTTTATTCAAATAAATGCTGTTCTTTTGAACTTTCTATTCATCAAAGAATCCTGAAAAATAAAGTGTATCACGGTTTCCACAAACATATTCGGCAGCACAACTGTTTTCAACATTGATAATAATCAGAAATGTTTCTTGAGCAGCAAATCAGCATATTAGAATGATTTCTGAAGATCATGTGACACTGAAGACTGAAGAAAATTCAGCTTTGATCACAGGAATAAATTGCATTTTAAAATATACTACAAGAGAAAACACACACACTTGACATTTTAATAATATTTCATAATATTACTGTTTTTACTGTTTTCGATCAAATAAATGCAGCCTTGCAGAAGAGACTTCTTTCAAAAGTATTTAAAAAGTCTTACCAACCCCAAACTTTTGAAAAGTAGTGTGAGCTTTTGAAGCATTGCTGTAATTCAAATTTCAAAAATAGTCATGCATATGCTGTGTGTAAAATTGCACACAAGTTCCACACTACAATGGAATGGAAAAGAGCGAATTCAGGCGCAGCATGAGATGATACTTTGTGCATGACATTTGAAAAATTTGGCATCCCTAATATTTCAAAACCTGAAATTCAACTCATTTCCAAAAATCGGATTTATTTGGAGTTCAAGCTATATATGAATGTGGTTTGGTTTGGATTTGTTTTTTGCTGACTGTTGAAACAAAGATTTATTTATTTTATTTCAGAGTTTGTGTAGCAGCGCTATACTGATATTCCTCCAATATTCTGCTCAGAGTTCGTTCTAAACAAATAACAAATAATTCAGCACCAATCTCTGAACCAACAGACTCTATTCATACTTTATTTTCTACAAAAAACCTCAATGTACCATCTGATTTTAGATGTTGTACTTTATACCTTAATAAAAGTAAGATTAAAGTTAAAAAATCTCACACTGACTTGATGGAATTTTCATAATTCGAAAGAAGACATGATGTCATTGTAATATTTGCATACTGAACTGTGATTGGTTTGTTGCTGTAACGTAATCTTACATTAGAGTGAGTATGATGCTGAGTTTCATCCTAAAACTTAGAAACAAAACAGACCAAACACAGAAACAACATATTTTGGCTAAAGTTTCTTAGGGCAGCATGATTCCCTAAGAAAATCTAGTTTTCCTCTTCAGTGTGTTTAATCGAGACCAGAACTAATGACACTATAAGTCCAGTAACATCTCACACACACAGACTACTGCAAAAGGTGAGATAAAAGATAAGATAGAGTTGAATAAACAGAAACGCTTGAAGCGGAAGAAAAACAAATCGAGGGAAAGACGATTCTTCTCTGGGTTTGTCCAGGATGCTGAATTATTCACAACTAACTCCTGCCTGTGAATTTCTGTTGGAGAAACAGCTATAAGACATACGTTTTAAAATAAGTTCAAACGAATAAAAATCAAGATATTTCCTTTTTTGGCCAAGCACTAAAAATGTTTTGGGTAGAAATTGTAAGTAAAATCCTTATGCAGTAAATCATTGGTTAACAATGGGACCCCTGAGGCACATTCAGCTCCTGAAGTTGAATTATTTTAAATAGCTACTTATTTTAATCTATAGACACGCCAAGTTTCTGTAAATTAAAAAAAATAATGTTTTGAAAACAAAACTTTGTCATTAATGCAGATGTACCAGAGGAAACCTATTAGTCACTTGACTATAATGTTGTGGAAAGCGGGACATCTTGGGAGTCAAAAAGGTTGAGAACTACTGCTGTAACTCATAGATAATGCCTGTAATCACAGTGAAGGACAATATTAGGATATATCACGATGTTGCTTTGAATCTTAAAAGTCAAAATGACATGACAACAACCCATGACATCCAACACGTGAAGCCAAGTTGAACAGGATGTTTAACAAAAGTAAATAGTAAAATAGAATAAAATAAAAGGTAAAATAAAATACTGGGGATAATAATGGGCATCACATATAAGGAAGGATTCAGACCTGAATTCAGGTTTATTAAAATAATGCCTTAAAAGCTTTTTGGCTGTTGGCATATCCAATAATCTGTGTAGCCTGGTGACATCAGGAGGAAAGGAAGGTCATTTCAGGGGTGGAACAAATACATTTTGATAAATGATTGCAAAGACAAACTAGACTGTTTTTCAGGGTTCAGTATGTGTACTTTAAAAAAGGAAAGGGTAAAGGCTCACAAGCCAAGGCCAAATAAAAAGATTCATGAATTGTGCAAAATAAAACCAGGAATGTGTACTATGATAGTAAAAAGTGCTAGTTCAAGGATTTTTATTTTTCTAAACTGTCTGACATTTTTGTTCAAGTTCATTTTTTTCCTCCTCATAGTCATTCTTCAAACACTTATCAGGAGTTTTGTCTCGCACTACGACTGCATTTCTGCCATTTCTCATAACCTGAGAAAGTTTGACAGCTACAACATGAGTGTTTAACAGAGATTAAACTGTGGAACATGCACTTATATCAGAAGTACACTGTAAGCACATTCAAACAGCACATGTCTGCTAAACTTGCTCTAAAGACTTTCTTGACCTTTATAATAAATAGCAACACCAAGGTCATGAGTTCGATTCCCAGGAAATGCATGAACTGAACAAAATACAAACCTTAAATGCATGTAAGCCACATTGGATAAAAACATCTGCCAAATGCATAAACAGGAATTCAACATAGCTAAACTTACATTCTAGACAAACACAAGCATATTACAGATGAACTGAAATAACAGAAAAATAATACAGAGAACCACTTGTATTGTTCCAAACAGGACTGACAACCGTGCTGCTATATGAAAGTCACCTAAATCCAAAGAAATCAACATTCAATGTACATCTATAGACACCAGCTATTACACCGTGAGTGTGATTGGCTGAATTACAGGTGCCACCATCTCTTGGCACACAGGTCAGAGTTTACTCTGGGGGAATGTTTGTTTATCATGGATCTGGATGGTAAAATCAGCATTCTCACTTCCCTCCCACTGCCTCTCCCACAATGCACTTCTGTCTGACATCAGGCCAGGCTTATTTGATGGACAACTGGGCTTCATGCCAGGTTTATTTCGGGCATCTCTCTGGGCTGTTTTCCACGGCAAGACAATTCTCAGCGAAACATGAGAG